TGTGTTCCCCACTGCAGGCTGCTACGTTTCACACACACACATCGAACGGCCCGATTATTCCCCCTATTACTCGTATGAAGGAAATGTCCGGTAACAAAGGCGCATGATGTGTGTGTGTATGTGCTCTGCTCAGCTCCGCTGTGTGTCTGTGTATGTTCTGTGTGTTTGTGCGTGTCCAACAACGGCATTTGTTTTCAAATTACCATGAACAGTAATTTACACACATCTGGCCAACTCCATAGGTATGTGGGTGTTCCCAAAATAAGTTAGTTTAATCTTAATCTCGATGTAGTGCTAAATGCTGTCGGAGTGCACCGGAACGAACGCCCCGGTATGATGTTATTATGGCTGGCAAACAAGCCCAGGGGTCTCCCTGACACTTCAGTTATATCAATATGTGTACAGTGGTCCTAATTTGTTTGAATTGTATCCTGGTTTTAAACGTTAATATGTTTTGGATGCATATTGTTCTATTATTTGTTCAGGCTGTTACATACAATTAGCCACTGTTGCCACCTATATTAGGCTATATTATATTAATATTTGTAAAGCGGTCCTAATTTTTTGTTTTAATTGTATCCTGGTTTTAAACGTTATTAATATGTTTTGGATGCATATTGTTATTTCTTCAGGCTGTTAAATACAATTAGCCTCTGTTGCCACCTGCTGGTGAGTAAATATTAAAATCAGCTAAAATTGACAACCGGTCCGCACATTTTTTTAAATGTATCTGCCGGTCCTTGGCACAATAAAGGTTGGGAACCCCTGATTTATACGATACAAAATATGATTCTCTGGGAAGAGAGGTTTGTTGCTTTGTCTGTGTTGATGACGTGTTGTCATTTATTACAGATGGAGATATGCAAATGAAGGCCAATGTTCTGATCACAGAACTGTTTGATACAGAGCTGATCGGTGAAGGAGCGCTGCCCAGCTACGCCCATGCTCACCAAAATCTGATCCAGGTGTGTGTGTATGTGTTTCATTTATTATCTCAGCGTCTGTGTTACGCCCAGGCCTAGGGGAACCTAGGCGCAGCACAAAGTTTGCTCTCTCCCCACTTTTCCCACTCTCAAGACAGAGACAGAGAATGTCGTTTGGTACATTTAATTTACCAAATCTGAATCATACAAAATATACTTTCACAACAAAAAGAAACATGCTGAAAGTCTGATACCAAAATAAACAAAGCAGGAGTAACAAAACCACAAAAACGAACTAACCTTTAACACAAAATCTTACCTACTAGAGAAAAATAAATATACAGGTTTCTTACCTACTCTAACTTAAAACAGGAGAAAACGAACAATCCAAAAGGGAAAAAGAAAAGGGTTTGCACTCCTGAGAAAATTAACCCGTCTACAAAGACAGGTAACGTAAAAATAGCTCACAGCCAGCAGAGAAGGACAAAATATTCTCAAAGTGCGAACACAGCACAACAGGACAAAAGATCTAAACACATCTTAAGGTCCCTCCGAGGTCGACTTGATTCAAATGTTATGAAAAACACTCATTGATTGCTGACTACTGACTCCTGTGAAGCAGTTGGTAGTGTCTGCAGGGGATCGATAACTCATTCGGTTGCAAAATGCATTTTCCTTCTACTGGCTTGGCTAAAAACAAACCTTACTCTGTTTGCAACCCACGTTTTTCCTTTGGCTTGGTTTAAAAACTGGCAATTTGAGCCTCCGTATAGCTCACCTGATAGCGATAGCAGCTGATATACTGGGGTTCTTTCCCTACTATGAGGACCCAGGGTCGAATCCGGCTATGCCCTCTGTTTACCTCTTTCAACTCTGCCTTTCGAATAGGCACTGGTGGCCCTAAAAATAATCTAAAAACATTTACAAAATAGCTGACAATTCCATATATTATGATACAATACAAGATTAATACATCGTTTGTGGTATTTGTCGCCTTTGAGGGAGCCGGGAGGGAAAATAGAGTGAGTTCAACTCTTTGTTCTTTGTGAGGGGACAGGGAAACGATCCTGGCTGAATTACTATTTTCAATAAATGAATATATTTGCATGATGTGACATGAATCTGTTGGTTGAAACTTCAGTCAGAACTTTATGAATTTGGTTAATACCAAAAAAAAGTATTTTAAATGTAGTCAAAAACAAGGTGCAGACCATGTGTGAAATGTGTGATCTGGCTGGTGGTCAGTTGTGTGTCATCATGTGCCCACCCCCCCTGCAGGAGGGTTGTGAGGCGGTCCCGCACCGGGCCACCGTCTACGCCCAGCTAGTGGAGTCCGAGCTGCTGTGGAGCTGGGCTCAGCTGCAGCCGGTGGAGGTGGAGGGGACCCGCCTGGTCCCGCTGCCTACTGGGGGCCCCTGTGCTGGAGCTCATGCCGTATGCGACATCCAGCTGAGCCAGGTGCCCCCCCACAGCTTCACCCCGCTCGGTCCTCTCTGCACCATGTTCAGGTATGAAAGTAAGAAACTTGTTCTGCAATTTAGTTCTCTTGAAATCAGTGTTTCACACCCTGCTCCTCTTCCCTCTGCACCCCCCCCCCCCCCTCCGCCCCTCTCTCAGTGTGGACTTCAGTAAACCAGTCAGCAGCGCCTTCCAGTCCCACAGCTCTCAGTTTGTGGCTCAGGCTGGGGGGCGGGCCCAGGTGGTCCTGTCCTGGTGGGACCTGGACATGGATCCCAGTGGAAGCATTGTGTGCACCATGGCCCCCAGCTGGACATACAAACAACCAAAGACGGCTCCGGTGAGTTTAGGACATGTTGTTGTTCTGAGTCAAGCTTTCTCCCCCCCCTGCTGATCTCTGTGTGGTGTTTCAGTGGAGGGACCACTGGATGCAGAGTGTGTACTTCCTGCCTGTCGAAAGCAGCGTGTCAGACGGAGAGGAGCTGCGCCTGACCGTCTGCCATGACGACTACAGTCTGTGGTACAGCTTACAGTCTCCCAGGTAACAGCTCACAGACAACATATTGTTTGTTTGTTTAGAAATACTGTTTGACCATCTCCTGCAGGTCTGAATAGTGCAACATAAACTGCAACACTTTAACCCTTCAAAGTGCTGCTCGGTGTCAACTCACAGGAACAAGAGTGTTAGTTTTATATTACCCAGCAGATGGACTTTTATTTTTTCTATTTATTTCCATGGGTCAGTCATAACCATTGAGTAAAATGGGAAGTAGACTTTCTCTCTTTGACTGTTTAATTTAGTTCTAATTTCTACAGTTATCAAATAGCTTCCTCCCCTCCCCAGATTCAGATTCATCTGCAAAAGTTACGTTTCAGGAGGAGTTTTGTTCCATAAACCACAACTGCTTTTGATGTACTGTTGTGTTTTTGTGTTGTTGCTATACACTGATCAAAGTGATATTTCTGTGAACCCAAAAAATAATGAATCATGAAGACATATTGCTCAATGAGTAGATACTGCAGCATATGGTGGGGATAGACTGTGTGATATCAGCATCAGATAAGAAAGCAGGCGCTCGTCGTCACAACCACTCATCTCGAGGACAAATGTTCCCTGATTATCTTATTAAATAAATAAATATTCAACTGGGCAAGATGGTTTCATATTCATAACCGACACATACAATGAAACAGATTTAACTAAAAAATGAGATTGATCATCTGAATAGCTGAAGTAAAAGACAACAAATCCTTTTATAAACACTAATTCTCACACTCACTATTTTTCTTTTGGCTTCAGGACATTTTGAAGTTACTAATAAGCTCACAGAGACACACTGGGTGTTTCTCAATCTCGAGTAAAGCTGCTCCAGAGCCAATATTTCAAGCATACTACGTCATCGAGTGCCGCCGAAGTACTGTTCCAATGTCCAGCATACTTGGAATTCCACCGAGCCCGGCGTACTTCGTTTGGAGAAATGTCGAGGCTGCACATGTGTAGACTCCGCGGTCTTAAAATCCCCACAATGCTTTGCGCACGGACCAATTTCCCCAAATCTGTGGCGGAAAATGTAAGGCGGGGCCTCTCATATGACGCACACCTGCACACTTGCTAGCCTGTTCCACTCTTCGTTTTCCGAATGCCAGGAAGGATTCTTGCCTCGCTTCTGAAGCAAGACGCTCGGAAGGCATGTGCTACCAAGCAAGCGTACTCGCGATTGAGAAACACCCACAGGATACATACTAGCTTCAACCAAAGCCATTAACTGCATTCCACTTGATGGTTAAACCATCTGTTCTCTGCTTGTACATTCCCAGTCTTACACAGAATATACAGTATAATAAAAGTAAATATTTGACTATATAAAGTTCTCAGCAATTATTTAAATCATTCACGTATATGATGTCATGATGTCAAGAAATTATTTCCCACTATCTCCCATGTAAAGGAGTAACTAATGGTGTGTGTTGGTGTCCTCAGCCAGCAGGGCTCACAGAGCGAGGCTGCCCCCTCTCGGCCCTGCTGCACCTGTCAGGCTCACCTGGTTTGGAACAGACCGCGTTTCGGTGAACTCAACGACAGACGGCGCACAGAGAGCTACGTCAGCGCTCTGCGCAGCGTAAGTGACGCCCCACATGAAAGTCAACTGTGCATGAGTGAATGCATTGTCTGAGGAGCTGCTGTGTTCCCTGCAGGTTCTGAGGGAGGACAGCGTGTGTCTCGGCGTCAGCGATGGAAGTCTGCTGCCGGTGTTTGCTCACGTGCTGGGAGCCAAGAAGGTACTCCTCTTTGAACATGTGGGCACATACTACACCTTCACAATCCAAATGCCATACTCAGACTGTTAGTGAACTGTCTTTTTAATACCTGCCTCTTTTTGTCTTAGGTCTACGGTTTGGAAAACTCAAGAATGTCTGAACAGGTCATTGAGCAGGTAAATAAGAAACTTTACTCCAGTGCTCTCTCTATGAGAACACACACATGAGCCTTGATGTTTTTACACTTCGCATCTGGAGCTTTGTGTTCAGGATCCTCACTTTCAGGAGTGTTGATGCTACATATGTGTCTCTGCAGGTGTTGGAGGCCAACTCGATGAAAGGAGCGGTGGAGCTGCTGGAGATCAGACCTGAGCAGCTGAGCAGCAAGGATCTAGGAGGGGAACAGGTACAGGAACTAGCCTTTAGTAATGTCCATTCCTTTCTTTATTCATTATTAAATAATGTTTTTATAATTCACAGTGTAAAACAACAAGACCCACGGAGGAGTTTTCACAGTTCTGCTCAACTCTCACAGCTCTGCACATATCTAATCTAGTCAAAACGTGTCTGCACTCCAAAAAATGATATGACTTCTAATATTTTTTTTTGTTAGTAAAGTCAAATGTTGGAATATATTATTGAGCAGCTCCGGACAAATTGGTCTCTTAATTTTTCCAAGGGCTGTCTGTATAGATTAATAGATGGGACTTGGCTAAACAAATCTTATTAAATGAATTTATTAAGATATTTTTCGGGCAAGAGAGTGCCTTTATCTATCTCACCACATGCCAGGAGTGTGTCCCTCAGAGCATTGAGTGCGACGCGTCTCTCCTGCAGATCTCAGTGCTGATGGGGGAGCCGTACTTCAGCACCAGCCTCCTGCCCTGGCACTCCCTATTCTTTTGGTACTGCCGCACGGCGTTGGCCGGTCTGCTCCGCCCCGGCGCCGCCATCCTGCCCCGCTCCGCCACTCTGCACATGGCCGCTGTAGAGTTCCAGGTGACCCAGATCCAGATATTTTCAAACTGTTCTTGTCAACCAGTAACATTCGAAAACAAGGCATAAAAAAAGTAAATGTAGTTTTTGTATATAAAAGGCTTAAGGTTTTGTGGTGGTCAAATACATATCTTGCTGTCTTTTTTATCAGCAGTTAACATGTATGGTCCCCTTTTTGTTTTCATTTGAATGACGTATGGAAAGAAATATCATTTTTTAAGCTCTTTAATACAAAGCGCTAAATGGCTAAATTATATAATATGATACAATTATAATTATACAAAGGCTGAATTAGTTTTGTATTTTCTATGTTTTTTAGGATTTGTGGAGGATACGAGCTCCGTGTGGAACATGTGAGGGCTTTGATGTCACACCCATGGATGAAATGGTGCAGGTAAAATGATAATTTCATTTCTGTTAGTGAGCAGTCTTTACATCCATTGTTATTTCCCATCTAGACACCTGCACAAGATGTCTGCGTGTTATAGGAAAAGGTGTAGAGAATGAGCACTATAAATATGGGATTGGATATTGTTAAATATGTAAGTTATTCTCGCGTCCAGGAGAGAAGCTTTAAAATGAGACTAAATGGAGTCTCTGAAAAGATTCAAATGGGATACTTTAATTAAAAAAGGCGCGGTAGTGTTACAGACAGAATATTGTTCAGGCAGAAAACAGCTGTGATCCGGCTCTCCTGAGCAAGAGAAGAGAGAGAATCCCTCGTCCGGTGATGTTATATATATCCTCTGCTGGCTCCTCCCCGCCAGCCGGCTCGCCTCGTCTCTAATGTCCGTTGTTGCATTTAAACAGAGGATTGGTACTTTTCACATTCAATATATGCTTAACACGCCTTTTCTCCTCATATTCTCTTTCATCACTTTTCATGTAACACATTCTAAACGCTGTAATCAATACTCTAAAAAATACAGAAAATACTTCACGGCTGGTTTGGTTTCCGGTCATTCCGGATGTTGTCACATGCTACTCTCGTCTGTAAACAATAATGTATTCAAATAAACTGTACCTTCATTTAATATTCAGCATGGTAGTATCTCGACATCTATAGTTGTAGTGTTAAATCAGTAGGTTTCGGTTTGCACCACTCCATGTCATTTCGCACCACTCCATGTCATTTCGCTACTAAATTCACCTCTTTAGGAAATCGTATATTAGCCACATGCTAAATGCTAACCGGAGATGAAGGATTTTCAGAATAAAAGCTTAACTGGTGGTGCACGAGAATTTCAGGTTTTTTCTGTATAAATCAGCATTTTAACTGATGGCATGTTTAAACTAAATTATGCCATAAAACATTGATTTTAATTTCTAACAATATTGTAGTAAGATTTGAGTATGCATCCCAATGATTGTTCCTTTTTAATTGTAATACTTATTCCACCACTGCCCTACTACTACATACAGTTTTCGTTGATGATTTTTTTCATTACTGGTGAGGAAAATGTATATGTCCATGACCTTCAGCTGAAATGAAGGGGCCCTGTAATGAGTCTGAGGTTACTGCCCTGTGTTTTTTCTTTTTTTTTATATACTTAATCACATCTGTCCTTGTAGCGATCTCTGGATTTTCGTGAGTCCCGTGAGGCGGAGCCCCACCCTCTGTGGGAGTATCCATGCCGTGCTCTGACCCCGCCCACAGCCGTCATGACCTTTGACTTCACACAGTGTGTCCCTCAACAGCCAATCAGCAGTCAGGGATCACTGCCCTTCACAAGGTACTGAGTTTTCTTCTATCACTGAGAGCAAGGACAATATCCCAAAGTCTTAGTGTATACAGTACATATAAATGATACCTGCCTATAAGTAGATTGTGAGTTTACCGTGACCAAACATTTAGTTAGGGTAAACTGATCCCTTCTATAGTCCCTTCTAAAGCTCACTGAATTTGGGATAAGGACAAACAGTAGTATTATTTCTCCTGTCTAAATCCTGATCAGACTCGATACGATTCTCCTTAATACAAAATGAAGCCTTATTCAATAAGCTTGTGGCCAAAAGTATGTCCATATTACTTGACATTTCACTTGACTTCTTCTTTTGGTATTATGGGGTGTAAAGATAGTAGTAGCTTCCCTTTCCTGTGGAACTGCTTTGAAGCCAAACTTGAGAATTTGGAGGTGTTTCCCTACTTAGAGAAGAAGCCTCTTTATTAATCACAGTAATTAACATTCAGTTGTTCACTGGTTGCTTATGTGACTAACTGTTTTAGGAATCTCAACAACTCTCCTCCATTGGGAAAAGATTGATAGAGACTAAAAAGCAGTGGCTAGATTCTCTCTAGAGATAAGACTAGAAGGAGAAGCTAGAAGCTAGCAGCTGGAACTAGCAGCTGGAACTAGCAGCTGGAGCTACAGCTACCTTCGATTTTCTGAGGTCCAACACAAAGGTCCGGTGTACTGCTCTCAACACTTTGTCATTGCAGATTTTAAGGCTGTTCAATGTCTGTTTCAGGATTGGTCGTTGCCATGGTGTTGCGCTGTGGATGGAATACCACCTAACTGATGACATCACTGTTAGTGCAGGTCTGATTGGACCAGTCAGTGAGCAGGTATCACATCATATTGGTCATCTTTACCTTGAGTTTCTTGCTGTATTTTCTTGTCTTTTGCACTCATTTTCATCTCTCTAATAGGGAAATTGAAGCTACAGCTAACTATCCCAAAAAAAAAAAAAATCTGCTAGTTGTTTACTGCACAAACTAAAATTTAACCAAAATATGTAAAAGTAGCAAGCACCTTTGACCATAGTTGTTGAGGAAATAGAGCTACTGCCTGCTGTTCTATTCACATATATAGACTTTTGTAGATGGTAAATTATAGATGGATAATATAGATGGTAGATTTATAATATTTTGTTTATTTAACTTCGCCAAGAAGAGAGTACTTGAAGCAAGGCGTATCAAAGGTATGTTCATTCAAAAGAGCATGACATGCTTTTTTTAATTCACAACTTAATATTTTTGTTATCGTTTTTCAACATCTTTTAATTTAAGAAAAGTTCACGAAATAGAATCAAACAAAAAAGCTGACTAGTTGAAAATAGCTCAGCTGCCTATATTTCCTCAACGTCTGTGGCTTTCACCGTAAATTTACTCCAGTGTTTAATGTCAAATGAAAAAGCAATCTTCAGTTCTTTTCTGACACGTTTCCTGTGCCTTCTTGCAGGGTGAGTGTGAGTGGAGTCGCCACAGGAAACAGGGAGTGTATTTCTTCAGGTCACCGGGGGAGAGCTCAGGTGATGGCAGAGCCTCGGTGTCTTACAGCTTCACCTTCGAACCCAGTTTAGGAGATATTAAGATGGACTTCAGCATCGAGGCTCAGTGATATGGAGACTGGGGAACAATATCTGAGGTTCAGCCATTATGGTGTGTAGTGCAACCCTGAATATTTACAGTCATTCATTTGAAATGCATTTCATTTGAGCTATTGAAGAATTTAGAAAAACTGTTTTCTTTTTCACAGTAGAATACAATGATAGTACATTGAAATCCATTACATCAAAGGTGAGTCTCACTGAGTCAAAGGAACTCAAGCTTGTATACCGCAGACATCCTGCAGCTTTTGTGATCTCACCTGTCTCACAATCCCACTGTTACTGTAATGTTTCATAAAGTTTTATATTGTTTGTTCAGTGTTGGAGTGCTATAATTTCCAAGAAGGAAGTTTACCTGTTCTGAAAAACAGACTGCAGAGCATTTAGCTCTAGAACACACTGCAGGGAAGTTGTGGTGCTAATATGAGAGTTGAACTTTAAAGGTGACCTAAAAAATGCACTTTTGTACGTCTTTTATACATGAATAGGTGTCCCCGGTGTTCCAGGGAACTCACCAAGTGTCAGAAGACACAACCCTCTCTATTTTCCTCCATACCCAAATCTCTTAAAAAGGGGCTGCAACGGATCTGATACAGACTGATCCAGATTTGAACACTTCTATGTCGTCACAGAAGTGGCGCTACGGCTATTGGGCCAACTCCACCAATCAGGAGGAGACAGCCACGGACATTGCCGTTCGAAAGCGCTGGAGACGCTGTAGTACATATGCCAGGACTGTAGATGGTGCTGTTCTCACAGAATCAGCCCATGCAAAGACAGTGTTAAATTGAGCGAAATGAGGAACGGCTAAAATGCATGATCTGTTTGGTATTTTGAAAAATAAAAAGTATAAATATGCCTTATATAGGTATGGTCCTACACTATGTTATTCAAATATAGCATGATAGGTCCACTTTAAGTACCAAATGGTCCTAAAGATTATTCATCCAGAGCTTTGCAAACTTTAATTTCAATGTGTAGACATCAAGAGTTGTCTGAAGCCAATTCTTTTTATTGATTAGTTTATTTTTCTTTTGACTAAAGCGTGATTAATATTTCATCTGATTCCAATCATTCCTGTCCTGCTCTGTCATCACATCGCTCCGGCAGCAACACCCTTAAAGGAATGACGAGCGTCTCTTTGAAACCCTGTGACTGCTCTATAAACAGCACACAAAGAGGGTGTCCTTAAACTTTGACTCCGAACAATGGCGGTCGGATGCCGTGTCACAGCAGAAGCACTTGTGTAATACTGGTTTATAATATATCTGTCATCAGTGGAGCCTGCGGTCGGCTGCAGACGCTGCATTGTGAGGAAGCATCAAGACGTGCATTGTTGTTGGCGTGAGTCTCAGAGTGAATACAGAGTGCTTTGGTGCAACACATGTTCACATTAGCTCATCAATTCACAAAACAAAAGTGACACGAACACTGCAAGACATTTACGTGCATTTATCATTTTGTAGAATCTGATTCTGCACATTGAATATTTAAGTCTCCCCCACTCTTGACTTATTGTTATTTTATTGAGAGCTGCAGGAATGAGGCCCGAACACAGACATGAGTCAGCATTTTATATCTTCATATCCAATCAATGATTTTCTAATGATGCTGTAGTTCCTTTATAGCCCAACATTAGCCTCCTTTAGCTTAGCGGTGGTGACGTGAAGTCATGTGACCGTGCTGTAGTTCCTTTATAGCCCAACATTAGCCTCCTTTAGCTTA